CTCATCTCATCACCCTGGAATGATAATCGCAAGATGCTATTTTTACCCTGGTTAATGTTTCCAAAATGCATCGATCCTAGGACTCAATTTACTATATTTCAAAAAGATTTCCTGAATCCCCCCTCTAAATTATGTTCAGTAGGGTCTGGGCACAGAAAGGGAAACCAATTTATTTATTTTATTTTTTTATTATTATTTTTTTTAATATATTTTATTGATTTTTTACAGAGAGGAAGGGAGAGGGATAGAGAGACAGAAACATTGATGAGAGAGAAACATCAATCAGCCGCCTCCTGCACACCTACTGGGGATATGCCCGCAACCAAGGTACATGCCCCTGACCGGAATCGAACCCGGGACCCTTCAGTCCGCAGGCCGACGCTCCATCCACTGAGCCAAACCGGCTAGGGCTATTTATTTTTTTAAAAATATATTTTATTGATTTTTTTACAGAGAGGAAGGGAGAAGGAGAGGAATAGAGAGTTAGAAACATCGATGACAGAGAAACATCGATTCAGCTGCTTCCTGCAACACTCCCTACTGGGGATGTACCCACAACCAAGGAACATGCCCCTGACCGGAATCGAACCTGGGACCCTTCAGTCTGCAGGCCGATGCTCTATCCACTGAGCCAAACCGGTCAGGGCCATATTTATTTATTACACACACACACACCCTTCTCAGTGTTACCCTGTGTGCTAGTGAGAGAAGTTAGCTTGAACGCAGGCAGATAGGGCAGGGTCCAGTGTGAAACAAAGGCAAGTGGAACAGGCAGGGACAGACACGGCAGTTTGAGCAAGCCTAATCACAAAAAACAACCATGCTGATATAATAGAATGTTTTTGGACACAGAACGGGAGGTATGGGAAACCAAGGGAGGGCCTGCAGCAAAAAAAGTGGCTTGTAGCAAATATATACCCCTGGACTACAAGGCTCATGGGCAGCCATTATTGGGCCCCCCTCCCCATGCGGGGAGTCTAAATCTGCTTGTAATAAATTTTCCACACTTTTGCTTAAATCTTCTGGTCCTCGGAGCTCATTCTTCAGCATTGAGAGAGACAACCCCTGGGGAAAAACCTCAACTCACCGTTCTGGTTATCAGCAGGAGCTGGTATTGCCCCCATTTTACAGGTGAGAAAACAGCACCAGGGTGATTAAGGAACCCAATATAACTAAACTCCAATGTGCACTTAACTACTGCACTGTACTATATATGCATCATCCTATATAATGAAAGGGTAGTATGCAAATCCACCAAACTGCAGAATGACCAGTCACTGACGTGCACTGACCACCAGGGGGCAAACGCTCACTGCAGGAGCTGCCCCCTGGTGGTCACTGTGCTCCCAAAGGGGGAGTGCCGCTCAGCCAGAAGCCCAGAAGCCGGGCTCATGGCTTCTCCACGGCAACACTAAGGATGTCCAATTGCTGGGGAGCAGGCCTAAGCCATCAGTCGGACATCCCCCGAGGGCTCCCAGAATGCAGAGTGCGGAGAGGGCACAGGCTGGGCTGAGGGACACCCCCCCCTCCCCCCCCCAGTGCATGAATCCCGTGCACCGGGCCTCTAGTGTTAATGATAAAATGAGGAACTTGCTAAGACTTATGTCCTGATTCTCCAACCTCATCTGCTTAGGAAGGGGCTGGTACAGTATAAAAAAGCCATTTTTTTTTGTTCCTTAGTCACTCCACTCCTGGAAATCTATCCTATGACACTATTTTTTAAAAAATATATTTTATTGACCTCTCAGAGGAAGGGAGAGGGACAGAGAGTCAGAAATATCGATGAGAGAGAAACATCGATCAGCCGCCTCCTGCACCCACCCCCCCCACTGTGGATGTACCCGCAACCAAGGTACATGCCCCTGACCAGAATCGAACCCGGGACCCCTCAGTCCGCAGGCCGACACTCTATATACTGAGCCAAACTGGTCCTGGCGCCTATGACACTATTGACCACTACTGGATTGTGAGATTTTGGGGGGATGGTAAACTTCTTAAAGAAACAATACTTTCCTTTTCAGTGTTGCTGTATCAATTTTAATGTGTTTTAGTGTTGCTGTATCAATTTTAATTTTTTAATTAGCTTAAAAAAGACTGACATAAGTAAATACTGTTAAAAATGAATCAGTTTTTGAAATGATACTTGATAGATAACATTATGGGTGATATGAATAGATGACAAATTTTGTGGAAGGTAGGGTCAGTGCTGGGGCCGTCAGCGGCCGCAACAGGAGTCAGGGACTGTAAGTGAGGCAGTTGCAACTCTGCAACCCTGACCAGGGATCAAACAACTTTTGATCCCTGAAATTCGAGGAACACAGTGCTCACAAAAGTCCAAAGGGAGAAAAATTCTTATAGAGCTGTTGATGTAGCAGCCTCTGTAATA